GACACCTTTACAATTAAAAAGAAAATAAAATACCATTTAAATCAAAATAAATCTTTAATAAAAAAAAAATACCATTCATCTTGTATTGCATTCATAGCATCATCAATTCGCATTCGATCAGTAACTAAATAAGTTCCCCATAAACCGGTATCTGTATAACATGTATTGAAAGCTTGATATGAATGACATAAATTATATTTATTTGCTTGTTGACCAAGACGAGTTGCTACATGACCACCACCAGCCATGGATCTATTCAAGTAATCATACATATCTTAATCTATCGATCTGTTCTATCGTTAGAAATATCAATAGACTAATTTAAAAATTATAATCAAAAGAAAAAGAATTTCAATACTTCTCTAATTTTCCAGAACAAAAAAAAATTTTAACATTTTAATTATTCAGTTTTACTCTTAGAACTGTCAGAATTATAGGATCAAACAACCAAAAAATAAAATAGTTTTACCTATCCCAATTTCCAATAATAGTCGATGCAACCATTAATGGAATAGTATCAGCATCAGCCCAACCAGTGCTTTCAACAGCAATAGCAATATGAGCCAATGGCATAACGTCATCTCGAACACGAATTTCACTTCCAGTGAAACTAATTTTAAAAAAAATAAGCATTTCTTGAATTTTTATAAGAGTAAAAACTAATTGAATAATCTTACCGACACGGTATCAGATCAGTTAAATTTCCTGAAGAACCAGCTGGTAATTTTCCAAAATGTTCTTCACTTAAACGAACTAATTGATCATGATTAACTCCACCAGCAGCAGCTAAAACCATTCGTGGTGCTTTATAATGTGTTCTTACATATTTAAGTAAATCAGCTTTTTTGATTGATCTTAAAATAAAAATGATTCGAGGAAAAATTTCTTTTAATAAATTTACTTAATATTTTCACTAGGACCAAGAATAGTTCTTCCTAATGGTGTTTCTTGATAGGCTGTTGCATGTAAATGATCAAAAACAACTTCTTGTAAATTATTTTCAATTTCTTGCATTTCACGTAAAATTGTATGACGTTCACGTTCAATTTCTTCTTCACCAAATTGACTATTTTGTATTATATCCGATAGAAGTTCAACAACTATTCATTTATATTGAATATAAAAATAAAAAATAGAAATCAAAAGGATTTACTTTGTGGTAAATCCTTGCTAAAACATTTTGCATAATAAACAGTTTGTTCTCTTGATGTATAAGCATTAAGATGTGCACCAAGATTTTCAACTTCAAGTTCAAGTTCACGTTGTGTTCGTTTATTTGTACCCTGAAGAACATTTATTGTTTTAATTTAGATAGAAAAATATTCTTATTATTTACTTTAAAAGCCATATGTTCAAGAAAATGAGCAGTACCATTGTTTTCTGCTGTTTCAAATCGACTACCAGCATCAATCCATATTCCAACAGTACATGTTGGTAGACCATAATCTTCTGATGCTACACGTAAACTATTTTTTATTGCTGTTACTCGAGTTTCTGGTACATTAAGAAGAGTTTTCTGATATGTTACGGATGGATTTGTTTGAACAGTATTTGTCAAATTACGGAACTAAGTTAAAATTAACAATTAATCATTGTTAAAAACAGATGTTAGACAATTTACTAAGGAACGAGCTGCAAATCTACCAGCTCCATGAACAAGGCTACGAAGTAGCATAGTTTAATTGAATTAAAATGATCTAGAAGACAAAAAGAGTTTAGATACTTCACTAACAAGAAAAATTTTTTGCTGCCACCATATTGAATAGGGAGAATGATGTCCTCTATTGATATTTTCATTAAATTTTATGAAACTAATTAAATATTCAAAAGACAAAAGGAATCATGAATTTTATATTTGAATTGAAGTAACTTTTTAACAAATTTTAGCGCTAGTATCAATGTGAATATTTTTTTAAACAGACTGTTTGGATGAATCTTTGAAGTATCAAGCAATCCATCATAATAGGACATCTATATTTTAGAACGATTATATACATCAAAAGAGTTGAGACGAAACGGTGTTACTTGAAGACTTAGAATCAATTTGTATTTTTGTAAATTGTACCAACTCTATGTACTTTTAATACAAGGTCAATTATTACATCGACAACATGAGCGAAGCCCTCGTTAAACATTGATTACAGTTCAATTAAAAATATGTGCAATTTAATGTACTTAATATATGAGAAAGTTGATTATTTGTTCATATAGTTATGTCAAAAGAATGATCATGAATTTAATGGATTAGAAAGCACTGGATGACTTCAATGAATTATAAAGTAATTCAAAAAGGATTAATTACAAAATTATTCAAAATTATTAAAGCAGCAGAGTCTACCAGGGTCTACCAGAGTCTACAGGGACTAACAGGATCTCCAGGCTTCGGGTTTAGTGGTTGCAAAATGACTTACATCACATCTCTCTCGATGTGGGTGCCACGAAACCCTGATAGACTCCACTAGACCTTGGTAGATCGTGTAAATGATGCTTTTTGAATTACTTTGTAACTCATTTACGTCATGGTCTTGGAAGTGGAGCTTTTGGAAGTCGACGGATACATAATAAGTAACTTCTGGATACAAAACTTTGTGGATAGGCCTTCTTCGTCTTATATCTACGAGATTTTACTCGATTCAGATGAGGACAGGTGATATATATCAAGAAGATTTTGCTTCGTTTCTAGATCTAGCATGATTTACTTGGAAGAAACCGAAGAACCTTTTTGCCTATCGAAGAATATAAAGCATTTGAATACATCAAGTTATAGTGTCCCAATATCTTCACAAATTATTCGTAAAATTGCCAGAAGTTACCAGTTAAATCATGAAGTCTTAAAGTGGAAGAATAAAATAAATCAGAACATTCTATTATTATGTTCTCAAATGTTGTAACTTACAAACAACAAAATTTTGACTTAACGATTTCAATATTGGAATGACATAATGCTATAAATGGTTGACGATTTGATTTAAAACAAAATAATAGATAATCATTCAAAGATTCTAAACAATATGCTACTTAGTTTTACCTATGTATATTAGACAATATTCGGATGATTCATCAGGGATTAATATCTGTATTCGATACTGAATTGATTGATTATCATCATCGTACTACGAGAGTTGGTGTTGGGTGTGAAAGTGAGTGAGGAGAAGATGGTCACCCGTCAGCATCCGTCCACATTCACACCCATACCCACATCTTCGAAACATTAAGATCGAGAAGGAGAAAAAAGAGAAACAAAGACAGATTAGTATCAATCTCTCTCCTTACCAGAAGAAAAGATACATTTGATTCGACAGATTTAATTAACAACCATGGCGTCTTATAACGACCCTTCTTCTTCTTCTTCTTCTTAAAATTTCTGTAGGAGTATTTGCTTTTATTTCAAAAAATAATTTATTTACACTCGAACACTCGTTAAAGATGGAAAAATCATCATATGAAATATTCCATATCACGATACCATATATTGCTAAGCACTTATTAATCCTGAGCCATGTTAATCCATACCAATATTTCTTACGGTAGGCGTGTCAATTATGTGTGCGACAGTTTACAGCTCTATGAACAAGTTCTTTGTTGAGAACTGAGTGCAGTAACCAGTTTCTCTCATATGAGCTGGCTTATCGAACATCTATAATTTTCTCCAAACTATATGTTTTCGACACTTCAAATTCAGCACACTTGTAGTGTCTAGCTACATAATCAAGAAGAAAGAAAATAAGGCTTTGACGAGCACAAACTATTTCAAAAAGAACTTGTGAGCGAAATCAGTCCTATTCTCCGATTGGGAACTGTCACACGTCTGTACCAGCCAGAAGCAAAATATACAGAACATCTGCAGCTTTCCATATAGATGCTATTTTATATTTTGGTTAGAACAACAGTATATGCTCAGAATAGTTTGCTGAATAAAATAACACTTTGTTTCTAAGATAATTTTATGTATTTTTTACTGAAAAATAATAAATTTAATTTGTTCTATTTTTTTAGAATTCATTTCTTTTTTCTTTTATTCTCAAATCTCTCTTGAATTATATTAGAAAAAAATAAAGGTATCTTTTTTCGTTGGTCATCTTCTTCGCTTATCGGTAGGTGTTTTTTTGTCAAATAAGAACAGATGAATTTTTCGCTTATGTAGGTGCGGGCGGTCGGGATCAGGGTGGAATGTGACTGTGGATCTGGGGTATATGGGGATGATTTGGCGTGTGCGTCTGTTGGAAAGTCTGCTTGGTTGTGACTGACAGTTTTCTGTTCATCTGGAACAACAACTGCAACCTCGATCACATCCATACAATTGGAAATAAGTATTTAATTATTTCGCAATAAAAATGAATCTCGCCAAGCTCATATCAAAGACAGAAACAGATCTATTGAGAAGTTTTTCAGCATGCCTGTTATCTTCTATGGAGGTTTTGAAAATTCTATGTTTTTTTTTTTGTGACTTTTTGTCGCCAACAACACTGTGACAGATGTGGTTGGGTTCCTTCTTTATTATTAAAGTAGTATCTTCATGTTTTACATAATAGTACCATAAGAATTAGGCTGAAAGCTTTTCAGAATACTTTTGCTCTTTGTTCAGTGTATCTGGCCAGTTATTTGTAAGAGCTTTTATCCCACAATCGATTTAAATTAAAAAAAGAACATTCTGGAATTGTTATTATGTAATGCCTCTGAGTCATAAGTGTGCTTTCTATACTAATCGACGTTGCTTTTCCTGGAATCTTCCACATTTTTCTTTTGTCGACTCAGAAACCCGTTATTATACACAAGTGTGCTTCATGTGTCACGATAATTTAATAAATATACGGAAAAAGAACAGAACAGAACAGAACGAGAAGGTAACGATTAAGTATTTTTTCGCATAGGTGTCTCGCACGTAGGCAAGAAAAAAAAACAACATGGCTACCGCTATTCTGTCGCCGACCATCAGTAAATCATGGTCGTGTATATCGTGCACATTTCTAAATCCACGGTCGGCCTTTCCGACTTGTGAAATGTGTGACACAGACAATAATTCACTAACTATAGCTCCAGCTCCAATCGATTGGTTATGTCATTTTTGTGCTTCTTTCAACCAATTCACCGAGAAACAATGTAAACTTTGCGGAAGTACATTGACTCTTTCGTCTTCGAACAAGGTAAATATTGATCATCAAGTGATAGAATTTTGCCAAAAAAAAAGAATAGATTTTTATAAGGATTTACTCATAGTATTTCGTTCTTGATAGATTTTTCTTTGAAACATTATTCAAAATGCATCATTTCGATCTTAAATAAGCAGTGTCATTTTTTCAAGAAAAATTCAAATGAAATTTGAGCTGTTATTTATGATTTATTTAAAAATAGATTGTCAAAAACACGTATTTTCGAATCAATTCATGTTGAAATATCGATTCTCACATTGTGATTAATCCAATATTGCTTGAAATTATTCGGTTTGAACTTTAAGTGAAGAATAAAATGCATCATAATCGATAGGAATGCAAATGTACACTGCAAATTTAAATTGGCCATGAGAGAAACAGTCTTTACAAAGATTAGAATCTTAGATAATGAATTATAGAAATTTTTTGTGATCGATTTCCTAAATTTTTTTCTCATCACTAAAATCTGTTCTTGTCATTGATGATTGCGATCGAGGAGTTCTCAGAAACAGACAAAGAATTGTATGAATATCTCGACTTTTTCTTTAGACAAATCACGAAACAACAAATGCAACCAGAATAAAAACACAATTGCAGAGATCAAACTCTATTACGGTTCTTTCACTCACAGCATATGAACAGCAACACAACGATGAAGCTGATGCAGAACGTCGATTCACTGATATTCTTCAATATTGTCAGGAGGTAAATACGTAGTTGACAAGATTGATCGATTCGAAACCGATGATAACTAATTGATGTATAGAATGGTATAAATTTTGTCGATGATCAATTCTCACCATCATCCAGATCAGTAGGCCGTGAAGATATGTCTGTCGTACAGTGGCTTCGCATTCAAGATATTGCCGATGAAGAAAAGGAGAAAAAAGGATTATGGACAGTCATGCTCGATCCACAATCGGACGACATCGAACAAGGTCATTTAGGAGATTGTTGGCTGATGGCTGCATTGGCACTGGTCACTGAGAGACCACAGATGCTGTCACACATACTTCTGACGCCCATAGTTAATCGACAAGGTATTTATTTAGTCCGTATTTGTCACAATGGATTATGGAAAACAGTGTTACTTGATGATTATTTTCCGTGTACAGCAAGAAAACATCTTGCCTTCACGAAGGTCGGATAATATGACACAAATATAATGCGATGAATATATTCTCTTTTTTTTAGGCTAGGCGACAACAATTATTTGCCCCACTGATTGAGAAGGCGTGTGCTAAAGTACATGGATCGTATAGCAACTTGTGTAGAGGTTCCATGAGAGAAGGTTTACAACTGCTTACTGGTGCTCCTTCTGATCAAATCACCCTAGATCAACTAAATGATGAAGATAACGATAATCGAGATATCCTGTGGACAAAACTCGTCTCAGCATGCGAAGCTAAGTCAGTACACAGAATTTTTCCTTTATATTTCTCTCACCCTGATTATTCGAATACGACTAGTTGATTAGTGTATCAAGTATTTCATGAGAATGATTTTTGATAGAATCAGAACATGACGAGTTGATAACCTTCCAGGAAAGTAAACAATGGATCTAGGTTTATTAAATACATGCATCGTAGCGTCTTAATAAACTACATGGGCGACATTCTTGTTTGAGCAACTCTTTTGCAAGGATTCCAACAGACGCTGCGATCCATGCAAATATGTATTTCAGTATACGAAACCAGACGCTCATCTATAGCTAGCATAAAACTGTTTTGTTTCTCAAATTGAGAATTCTATATCATAATTTCTAAAGTATACCTCACTCTTCTAATTGATTTAGTCTATTGATTGGTGCCTCGACAGGTCGCAAGGATGTTTCCAAAGCTGACTACGACAGAGTTCACCTTAATAGACATCATGTGTACTCTGTTCGAATGACTCATGCCATCTCATCCAACGAACGATTTATCCTATTGAGAAATCCACATGCTCGATCGAATTATACAGACGATGACATAACGACTCAAGTATTTCAACGTCTTCAAAATGTGAATAGAGCTGATCCATCGGCTGGTTCCTTCTGGATGTCATGGAGAGCATTTCGACGATTTTTTGCTGATTTGACCATCTGTTCTTATCGGGATAATTTATTCGATGTCAGACTGGAGGGCCAATTCACTCCACATGCAGCACATTCAGTACAAGCATACTATTTCTATTTAGACAGGTGAGAAGTTTCTGGTAGACAGTTATTTTGAATAGCCGTTATTACAAATATTTTCTCATTGAAATTATGTACAGATCTTCGACGATAACAGTTGGTCTATTTCACCAACGTTCCGATCGAAAACGCGTTTATGCTAATCATACCCAATCATTTGTACTTTGCAATATTGTTGAAAACAGTCGTATCGGTGATCAATACGCCATATTGTGTAGTCGCCGCAAACAGCACACTCATTGGACAGGTACTTTGTCTGAAGGCACTTATGTACTCATTCCATTCTCTGCTTCCTATTGGCATCAAGAGAGAAACATGACTGATGAGATGAAATTCACGTTAGTTATTCATTCATTCACTCAATTAGATTTGGTTATTGTCGAAGAGTCGGGCAAACTTTTGACTGATTCTCTCATCGCTGCTATTATGAAAAATTGTTCTACACCCAACAAGGTATGAACCTTTTAATTCTTCATTTGTCACTAGGAAATTTCTAAAGACAATCATTCAGATGACGCCTATATAATCAATTTAAGCTACTGAGTAAATCCTATGAATAATCGAAACGAATTGGTGACTCATATTGACAAGAAGGGTACTCGATATCATGAATAGCTATTCATCGATGTTTGTGGAAAATTCAAAGTACAGAGAGTTTCAAATACGACTTCTTACCCATGTAAACCAGTCAACTAAAAATAAGAATTATATGCCTATTTGTCTGATTGCTGTTCTTTGTACGTTACTTGGTGAAAAATCAATTTGATACGTAAGCTGATCGATGAAGCCATACATAAATTGACTAGTTTATAGATATTCTCAATTCATTGATAAGGACTCGAACTTATTCGAAAAAGATTTCTAATGATCTCCAAATGTATATTTGACTACCTGCAACAGGATAGACTAAGGTGGTCATGAAAGTCTGATGAGTTTTTCAAATATTTTTTTAAGTATCAAATGAAGATAAATTTTCTTATTTCCTTTTCATAGCATAACAATTATTGCGTTTACTCTTTGAAACATGTGGGTGAACTGCGTGCATTAGTCGCTGAAAATACATCTACTCATCGCATGCTCAATGTTGATGTGACAATAGCAGAATCGTCGGATGTGCGGAATTCTCGCAATTCTCTCATCATACTCGATTCGATTCCACCCAATCATCGTCAACTTCTCTTTCTTATGGAAGTGATATCGGAGCGTAGTCAAACAGCCAAAAACGCTCACTCTCCAGGCGCATATTCGTATACATACAAACTTAGTTCGATGCAACAAAGACCTTCAGAACCTCTAATCCATAGAGTCGATGATATACATGCAATACGGCCTATTACCTAGTGGCACACTGAGGGTGCAGGTGTGTAGGTGGGTGTTGGTTTGAAGCGTTAATCTTCTTATCATTCACACTCGCACGCCCTCAATTCTTTTATGGTACCTTGGAAAATTTATCTCTCAATATTAAACTGGATACAATTATCTGAAACTGTGCCGAAATTTTCGTCTATTTAATCAAACATAAAAATAAAATTAGTACAGAAACATATGTGATTTGCTATTATATGACGTGCATTGACATGCAATAGAGATTTCTACAAAGTCATGCCAACAGTTTTCTGTAAAAAAAAGATTTTTACTTGATTATGTAATAATTATGGGTGTTCCGAGTAAGGAGAGGAGTCGGAGGAGTGACTCACCCCCTCCAACAATTTTGAATAACTTTCGTTTTTCCCAAATGAAACTAAACAATTTTCTTCATTGTTTTTTCTCACTAATTTCCGCAACAAAGGTCGACATGCCGTTTCTTCTTCCTTCTCCAATCTTGACTACCTCGAACTATCCCTTCTGATAATTCTTCTTTGTGTATTCATCGACGAAACAAGCAAAATTTATTTTCTCATGAAAAATTTGATTTGTTTTTTTATTGTTTATCAAGAGAACCATCTTCTCTATTTATTTACTTCACGATACCAAGTTCAGTACTAAATAGAGATCTCTCTAGATCATATTTATACCTTTGATTGCGTTAAACGTAGAATTCAACAAGATAATGTATTTTAGTGCTTTTGTAGACAAATAATATTTGTCTATTGGCATGCAAATATCTCTGATAAAGAGAACCATATGGATTTCAGTGTATATGTTTATTATTATGTTACATTTATAAAAAATAAACGAACAATAGCGACATCCACAAATAGACTGATCTGATTGGTTCTGATCGATGAAACCAATCAAGACATATCATTGCATTACATGTATATGTATCATTTTCACAATATTCATTACGTCTGATTTTTATTTGATCCTATTAAATTTGTTTAAAATAAATGCTTCGTCTTACGTTAACACGTCTTGTTGCAACAAGTCGAATAACAATTAGTTCTTCGAAAATTATAACTAATCATCATCGTAATTTTCTTCGAAATTTCTCATCACAATCCAATGATAATATTCACCAATCTAAAATTCCTTTAGCTAATATAAATAAAGGAGAAGAATCTAAACGAATGGGAATTCAATTTACGTGTAAAGTATGTGATCATAGATTACAAAAAACTTTTACTCGTCAGTCGTATGAACAAGGAGTTGTTATTATTCGATGTGATTCATGTTCAAGTCTTCATTTAATTGCCGATAATCTAGGTTGGTTTAAAGATTTAACACAAAATGGAAAATTCAAGTAATATTTTGTGTTTTATCTATATCAAAGAAAATCTTTTGTTTTTCTCTTATAGAAATATTGCTCAAATGCTTCAAGCAAAAGGTGAAACAATACATCGTGTAACTGTTACTCCAACTACTGATGAATCAATATTAAACGAAGAAAAAATGACAGACAAGTTACTATTGAATTAGACCACAATAGTTACCTCCTAAATCATCGTATGAAACATTGTTTCACTTGTTTTTGTTGCCAAATAAATATATTTTTCTTTATATAAAGAAATTTGTTTTTATTAATTTCTTAATTACAAAGTCTTTATGAACTATTTGAAAATTTTTTCTTTAATAAGTAACAATTAGTTATTATTGCTGAATTCATAATTTAGAATTATTATCAACATGATTGTGTAACACTAATCTGAATTAGTTATCATTTGACACTATAATGATTTTTCCATTTATATTTATTTAAATACAAAATGTACGATAAGAAACATTTTTGAGATTATTATAATATTTCTTAACCACCGTCACTTTGAAATAAATCTATTAAATATCAATGATTTTGTTTAAATATTCCATCAAAAACAAAATTAATCATTTCATATTAGTTATTTATTTTACTTTGTTGGTTTCAATATATAAAAAAAAAGACAATTTATATTTGTTTTAAGGGAAATATTTCAATCAAATCTTTATATATTCCACTAAATTTTCGAAAGATTATACTTACGAATTAGGTATAGATCTTTATTCTTTTTTTTTAAAACTTTCTTAACTATATTATAAAGTCGATAGAAAGATATAAGAATCATGTAGTTATGCGTCAATAGATGACTGATTATTTTTTGTGAATATTATGAAAGATTAGTATTGTATCTAAAACTTTTACAAATAATCAATCATACTATTTCAATCAGGAAACTAATTTGGATTTCACACTAATAAATCAAATATGATTGACATTTTGAAATTCACAATCGATAAGTTTTTGGCAACAACATCATGTATAATGCTAACTGTATCAAAACAAAGAGAAACTATCATCATTTCATTAGTTGTTGTTGTCATAAAAATAAGTCAAGACATGAATAGTTTTCAAAATGCAAAATATTTCATAGTAAATTTTGTAAGATCATGATTTCAATCTGAAATATTATAGAGACAATATCTTTGAACAATATACGTATATGATCGAATTTCTTTTGTTGTTTCATAAGCATTAACATCAACAACGTCATTTTCGATTAACCTTTTGTTTACCGACAAAAGACACACCTACAGAAAATACAGTGACTTTACATCAAGCACATTTTCGTTTCTTAATGTAGAAATCTAATATGGACCGTAAATAAACGATAATATTGACAACTCCCACTGTTTAACGTTTTCTCTTACGTCAATATGTCGAAAAAATATGCATTATAAGTGATTACATTAGTTTCACGTGATGATAAAGCATATGTCATATATATGCGTCACCGATTACTAAAAAATTAATTTATTTAAAATTATACTTATTCTTGTCGGTTTTAAATCAAAATATTCAACATTTTGATTTCCTTCATATGAAGAGATTCTGTTTGTCAAGCTAATTCAACGAAAACTACAGTTGCCTTTTGACCACATATTTCAATATCTTCGAATGAATCAATTTTTGTTTCTTTCAATTGTGCAGTCAGAGCTTTTCATTTAGCTAATAGTTCTATATTTTGTTTTTGAAATTGTTCTAACTATTCAAGTCGTTTTTAATCTTGAAAAGTTTTTCGTATAATAGCAACAAGAGATATAACATCAGATATAAATTTAATATTAGAATGATTTCGTGAAATGAAAAGAGAAATTAAATAAGAACTATTATCTACATGAAGTTTTTCTATTGATATTAATCAGATCAAGTTCTTTTACCTACAAAAAGTTTAAAAAAAACACTTGTTTACTCATCGCAATGGTGAATTGATCGATGAACTGTCGGGGATGTAATACTCCTTCCCCCCCTCTCCAACAATGTTGGCTGCTTCGAGCCATCACTGACTAATTGTAATAACAATAGGATAAATCCCATTCATTTTCTTCATATAGAATTTCGAAAAAAAACCAATGATTTCATTTTCCTACATTAAGATTGTGATTGAGAGAGAAAGGTTCACAAGGGACAATTTCACATGATGAATATTACTAATGAATATGACGTTTTCTTCTTTTTCTTAATCTTGTGCGTCACAAGATTACTCAATGAAGCGTACTTATTGTTAAATGAATAATAAAATTATTCTTTACACCTTTTATCTTTCCCACTAACTTTTACTTTATAAAAAGTGTAGTACATAAAAGACAAGTTAGTTTATCTGTCGAAAGAAGTATAGACAGCAACGGTAAGTAGTTTCGTTGTAACGAATTCTAATAGTTTCATCTTTGTTTTTATTTACAATTCAGAACAAAAACTGTAGCAAAAATGAATTCAAATTTAATTAAAGAATTTAATCGTTATAGAGAAGAAAATACTGAATTAATGAATAGATTTAATGAACTTCATAAACAAATAAAAAAACAAAGAATAAATTCATACGAAGATCTTCAACAAGTTAATCAACATGCAGCTCAAACTATTGTAAAACTTGCATCAAATACTAAACCATTTCGATTAGGTGGACGTGCTTTTGGTTTTTATGGTTTAACATCAACAGGAAAAAGTACAATAATTAATAAATTACTTGGATATGATTTATCTGACAAAGATGCTGGTAAAACAACAAAAGAAATTCAACGTTATGAAGGACAAAATTGTCGTCTCTTTGATATTCCTGATAAAAATGATGATATGTCTTATTTTACTATGGAATATATTGCTTTTTGGAAAGGATTGACAAAAATATTAGTATTAATAACAACAACAATTACAGAAATGACAAATGTTTTTCATCTTCTTGATGCGCTTAATCTTCGATATGATATTGTTATCAATAAATTTGATTTAGTACCTATTGAAAAAAGACAAGAGTTTAAAAAAAAAATAAATCAACAAATTTGTGAATCTGAACTTCAAGGTGTTGATCATGTTTGGTATGTTAGTGCACTTAATCCAAATCAATGTCCTGATTGGTTGACTTTAGTTAATTCATTAACTTATCGTCCAGAAAATGTTTTTAATGATTATGATTCCGTCGATGATTTTTTTTATGAATAAATTTGTAAATATATTTGTTGTTTGATAGAACTAACGAATGTTAGTGCAATATTGTCTTTTTTTTTCTTGTATTTATTATTCTTCCTTTCAAAACAAAATAAAGATAAAATAATCCTTAATTTTTGTCTTCGTGGTATCGATTCCGATTTCATTGAAAGTTAACATGTTTAAGATGAAAGTATCTCAAGAATATCTTACAGAGTTTGAAATTGATCAATGAGCTTTTTTTTTTTGATCACTCTTTTACATGTCGAAATGACATTGTATTCTGGCATTTAATATAGTAAAGTGAAGTATCTTTATCTCGTTTTATTTTTTTGACGAGAAATAAGACAAAAAATAAGTGGCAAGTGAATGTTTTATTTTTTCTTAACTAGTAAAATAAAGATAAAAGGGTATCTCTAGTCGATATTTTTTATTCTTTAGTTAGCTTTTATCTAAATATTTATTTCGATTAGTTTGGTGTTTGTCATTCTTCGACATGCAATGTCAAATAGCTAACTCATTGCTTTTTCTTTCAATGCATTTCGATCAATATATTACCCGTATATTTTATAGTTTCATACAAATGTATACATAGACTAACATTTGATTGTTAGAGATTTTACTTTTTTCTGCATGAAAGAAGTACAAAATAAAGTTTATTTTTCAGATCTATCTTTACTTTATTTTGTATGATGCCAACAACTCTATCTCATCAAAGTTTAAATCCTATTCAAAATGTCGATAAATATGAATTACATCAAATTGGTTCTGGTTTTTGGAATGTTCGTAGTCATTTTAAAATTTTCGCTAAATTGATTGATATTGAAACACATATGTCATTGATACAATTACATAATGGAAATTTTCTTATTATTGATACAGTCGAACTCAATGATAATCTTCGACAAGAAATTAATCATTTAACAGATAATGGAAATAAAATTGAAGCAGTAATTGGTACACATCCATTTCATACTCTATCATTTAGAACTTTTTATGAAGCATATCCAAATGCAGCTTATTATGGAACACCAAGACATTTACATCGATTGACAAAAATTCCATGGGTTGGAAGTCTCAATAATTGTGATGTGAGAAAAAAATGGGAGCCAGATGTAGAACTACGCATTCCAGCAGGTCAGTTATATATATATATATAATGAATTTCAAATTTCATAGTCAAATTAAATGTGTATAAAATATTTCTTAAATATTAATCAATACTTAGTACAAAGTTTGGTCAGGCTTTTTTTTTTGTTCTAGGTACCGAATTTATCAATCCACAACCTGAATCATCGAATCATTTTACATGTGTTTTTGTCTATCATCCAGCATCTGCTACTCTTCATGTTGATGATACAATAGTTTATACAGATAAACCTAGTTTTTTACTCAAGTTATTTGGTTATAAAGATGGTGCTATGGCTTTTCATCCATCAATAAAAAGTGTTGGTCTTCATCCGACAAGTGATGCTCCATATTTATTTCGTGACTGGATGCGTAATATGTTACATGATTGGCCTTTTGAAAATATTTGTTGTGCTCATATGGGTGTTAAAATAGGTGGTGCACATGCCGATGTTTTTGCACTACTTGATAAAACAGAAAATTTATTTGCGAAATTAAGTAAGAAAAATCGTAAAAGAAATCCCGAAAGTGAATTATTCGCAGGCAATCATCATAATATGAATATTCATGGAGATGAATGTGGATGATGATATTATTATTTATTTTTAAATAAACATTTTTTTAATGTCACTTTTCCTATCTTAATAAGAAAACATTGTCTTCATTATATCCGACATTGATTTCAGTTGTTTATGCATTTATATATGAATAAGATAAAGCAAACAGCGATTTTTTGATGAAAATAATCTTTGGATGATAGAGATGTTAATTAGAATTTGAACATTTAAACAATCTATATTTTTACTGCTGTTTTCTTTCACTAAAAATGTGTTCATATCTGTAATATTTCACAATAACTTTAAGAAAAAACAATAAAACTTGGATTAAATCAATATATAATCTAGTCGTTTGTTTTTATTCTAATGCTTACGCACATTGACGGGTCAACATCCAAATTTTAGGTATGACAATATATCGAGTCATCTCTTAGGAAAAAAATGATAAACACATTTTTAGTAAGCAGTTGAGTATGTTCTGATTTTATTTATATTACTGATAAAATTGTTTAGGTATGGTAATTACCATCAATTGCTCTCTAGTGGCCCGTAGATGCTTATAAAATATATTGAAATTTCATTTAGTAAATAAAAAGAAATTATATTAATCATAAGCAAGTGATAACCTGAGGAAACAATATTGTATGATAGTATTTTGGATGCCCAAAAAGTTATTAAAAAAGTATTGGAATATCTTGACCAATTCGGCTGAATTTTTTACCACTGATGATGGAAACATATTCATAACTCATTTACGTAAAGAAAAAATATTGATAAAACTGCTTCGAAGTATCATTTGTGACTTCAATAAAAATAATATCTCTTATGATGGGTTCGAAAAAACAGTATGTACGTATATCATAGTTTTATATTATATGGTATCTTATGTTGTCTGAAACGAATTAAATCGGGAGTATTCTTTTATAATTGGAAACCAATTAATCTATTTGATACAGTATAATGAATGTATGCTAATTTATTTTTCAAAAATAACTTTTAGAATACACTGTACATGATTTCGTTGTGGAATTCTTAGACAATCATATTTCTTCATTGAAGTCAATATTGTTACTTTGAAAGAATCTTTGTCAATGTTTCCAGTAACCTGCTCAGCAGAGAGGATTGAGGAATCAATTCTCCCCTTCCCCTTTGGCGGAGAAAAATACAGGACGTTCTTAAAGTTACTAAAAACAAATTCTAATATCTTCACTGAGTCTTAACTATATAAGCTGATTTTCCTTCTGATGATAGAAGAGAGTTCCAAGTTTTTATCGAGAAGAAAACATTTAAGAATATTAATTAAAAACTGAGACAAGTTATGTCAATACAAAAAATTTGTGTTTTCAAGAAGAGACAACAGCAGTCTTCCCGGTTGTTCGAAAATTTCATGCACAAGAAAGCACTCGAAAAAGCCTTTGTAACTGTGGAAAAGTCAATGAACCTGGTGAAGGCATTGGAAAGACAATAAAGCTCGCAAAACTATGAAAACATAGTGAAATTATACGGTAAACTTTTGTGTTATAATACTTTTTGGTTCTATTTTTAATTAGTTATTCTTATGGTTTTTTTTCTGTAAATAAAAAGTTAGAACTCCTCTATCATTAGAAAAAGAGATAGGACATTTAGTTCAAACCTAATGAAGATATTCGAATTTATTTTGGTACAGTGACTTTTAGGGCATCCTACACTTGTATGAAAGGATGAGCAAACAATCATCTACAGGAAAATTTCAGGCTTTTATCATGGCAATTTTCCCTGAAAATGGTCAATCCCTCTTAGAAAAATTCCTGGGCACATGCTTCATGAATGATTGTGCATATGTGAACGATAAAATGAATTTGAGTTAAATATAATTACAGTTAAGATTCAACCTGTTGGAAACATTCGAGTATTTATGACATCTCCTAAAATAAATTGAATCGCAATTATCACAAATACTTGTATTGTTAATATCATGCGACAAAATTTGCGGATAATGATCAGCATGTTAAGGTGTCCTTTTTTCATGAAATTCTAACCCTCAATTAATTGATCATATCGAACATATATAAAAATATTTTCTTGAAATATTTTGACAGATGTTTGTATGCTTTTCTATAGAATACAATATGTCGAAATCGTATGTTTTATTTTAGTTTATTTTTGTTTGAATTTTTTCTCCTTATATAAGATGTTTTATAGGTATCTTTTGATGATCTATCCATTTTTATATTCTTGTTACAGTGATGGATCTTCTTGCAATTGTTATTAATGGATCTGACAGCTGTGAAATTGCTACTTTATAATATGTTTGACATAAACTGAGCATAGAAACTCATAATCAATAATCAATGTTTTTCATTTAAAGAAAGATTTTCTTATTGAGTTGCGTGTTTTTAAGACGACTGATTTGGAAACTTGCTAGAATTTAATAGTATTCAACTCATATTTTAAGATGAATAAAACAATATCTGAATTATGTAGGGAAATAAAAAATACAATATATTCAATTGATTTGTTATTAACCTATAAATATTGATAAAATTATAAACAACAAACTGTTTATCAAATATTCTTATACAAGATCATCTAAAGGATTTATTTAAGTGTGAAAGATTTCATTAAAATTACAACTTATAAGAAGTAACAGAGTCAAATTATCGTTGGATCTGAAAAAAGTTTGAAATATTTTTCTATTAGCTTACACACAACATGAAACGATTAAAAAAAATCTTTTTTTAACTTCGTTTGTCTCATTACATAGTTTTATTGATTTCTCAATATTCAAATGATTTTCAAAACGATTTTAAAAGAATAAATTGAACAGTCAAAAAAAAAGATAAGATATTTGCTCGAGAAATCATCTTCAAAGTTGATCATTAGATATTGATAATAGTTCATATTCATAAACTGTGGTGATATGCAGGGAGAATGCCACTTTCACATTCTTTTCTGGTGCATGATGAACTGGTTAAGTACGTCCAATCAAATAAAATGGTACATCATTGCTTATTCTAGAAAACAAAAGCACTTTATCACTTTCATAATAGATAGCATTGTGTTTTGTTCGTCGATGCATTTCCATGAACTATTTTTTTTTTATAAGATCATCGGCGAAATCTTCATAGTCACTTATAGATCAGAATAAGATAATATTACCTTATTTTCATTTACTATTAAGAACAGATGTCATCTATGTTGAAGAATGTTCTTTTATATGAAAACAAAAACTTCACATAAAACAGATTTATCTCGTCTTATATTGAACTCTAATTAATAGAATTATCTTTCAAAAAATAGAACAAATGATGAATTTACAGTTGAACATTTAACATCTCGTCTAATTAGTTT